AGTATCAGGTTCTTTTCAAAAAATGAAATTAAATTTAATGTATCTGCCATCATTGGAATCAGGAACAATCTTACTAGCAGAGTATAAGAATCTATGTAAAGGGCTGGCCTGGTGGCGTAGTGGTTACGTTCACGCGCTCTGCTTCGGCGGTCTGGGGTTCGCCGGTTCGGATCCTGGCTGTGGACCTACTCAGCACTCATCAAGCCATGCTGAGGCGGCGTCCCACGTAGAAGAACTAGAAGGACCTACAACTAAGACATACAACTATGTACTAGGGCTTTGAGGAGAAAAGAAAAAAAAAGAGGAAGATTGGCAACAGATGTTAGCTCAGGGCCAATCTTCCTGAAAAAAGAAAAAAAAAACAATCTGTGAAAGTAACAAATATTTGTCCACAGAAAAGGGGCACAGAATTGGCTTTTCCAAAGTTTTGCTAATATTAAATTTTTTGAGATTCACTTTGTCATCCTTTGTGCTCACTAATGGACATGTAATATTTTATAAGGCATAAAAGGTTTAGAAGAATTCCTACCATAATAGTTTACAAAAGAAAACAAATTATGTGCCTTCACGGTCCCTGATATAAATTTTCTATAAATTATAAGACAGTGAATATTTTTTAATAGATGTACAACTTAGACCAAGAGTGAAAACCACCAATTCTAAAAAATAAGTTCAGGGCCGGCCCCGTGGCTTAGTGGTTGAGTGCGCGCGCTCCGCTGCTGGCGGCCCGGGTTCGGATCCCGGGTACGCACCGACGCACTGCTTCTCCGGCCGTGCTGAGGCCGTGTCCCACATACAGCAACTAGAAGGATGTGCAGCTATGACATACAACTATCTACTGGGGCTTTGGGGGAAAAAAATAAATAAATAAAATTATAAAAAATAAGTTCAGAGGCGAAACTATCAATTACAAGGCAAGCCTATAGTGTTAGGGGATTGGGGGGGTGGTTACTTATACAAAGACTACTCGAGTTAATTTGCTCTCCCTTTTTGACAGACTAGGAGTTGGAGAAATGTAGACTAAGGCTCAAAGATCATGGTACACATGTCTTTCTGCTCTCTCAACTCCTGAAATAACATCCACTAAGAAGCAAAACTGCACTTTATCAGTAGTGCCATGGTAGTTCGTCTTATCTCTCTACAAGTAATCCCTACAGTATTAAAAACATGACTGGCATTACATACAAATATTTGTAACGTGAGAAATTACCCTTAGTCTTAGAAGTGATAAAATAGCAGAAATGGGACTTCTAGAGCCAGCTTCTTTAAAATGGTTCTTAGTTTGCTTAAAAGAATGTCATGCTTTTTCAAGCTTTTCAAGAAAGAAATTTGACAATATGCATCAACTTTTACAAATGTTCATGCCCTTTGATCCAGTAATTACACTTCTAGGAATTTAGCCTAAGAAAATAATCAGAAATATGCTCTAAGGGCCGGCCCCGTGGCTTAGTGGTTAAGTGCGCCCGCTCCGCTGCTGGCGGCCCGGGTTCGGATCCCGGGCGTGCACAGACGCACTGCTTCTCCGGCCACGCTGAGGCTGCATCCCACATACAGAAACTAGAAGGATGTGCAATTATGACATATAACTATCTACTGGGGCTTTGGGGGAAAAATGAATAAATAAAATTAAAAAAAAAAAAAAGAAATATGCTCTAAGATTTGTTAACAAAGATCTTCAACCTGGCACTGTGATGGGAAAAGTTGTAAAAAAAAATTTAAATATAGCAGGAATTACTAAATACAGCATATATTCATTTAGAGAATTTTATGCAGCTATTTAAAACGTTTTTAAAATTCTTAAACAGAGGAAAATACGTATATGTGTAAGAATTCTAAAGTAGGCTGCAAATCCATATATATAAAAAGATATGTATAGGGCCGGCCCCGTGGCTTAGCGGTTAAGTGCGTGCGCTCCGCTACCGGTGGCCGGGGTTCGGATCCCAGGCGCACACGGACGCACCGCTTCTCCGGCCATGCTGAGGCCGCGTCCCACATACAGCAACTAGAAGGATGTGCAACTATGACATACAACTATCTACTGGGGCTT